CTTAACCAATGAAATCAACAGATTGATATATGACACTCCCACATCAGCACATAGGTGTCACTAATCTCTGACAGGGTAGCTTTCTGAATGGCAAATCAAGCCGTACTGCACAGCAGCAACATCTAAACACTAAGTCGGAGCACAACTAACATTATTGAGGAGGGCACTGATCAGGGTAGTGAAGAAAATCTTGAGTTCCACCTACGGAAGATGCTTCTCTTTCCTCTCCAGGGTTCCCCATTTGTGTGCATGTGGTATACACACACAAACACACACACACACACACATTCATATATATATATATATATATATATATCCCACAAGGAAATGTTAGTCCCACCCCTAATACCTCCCTTATCCATTATAGAGGGGAAAGTCCACCAAAGTCTTACCTGGTTATAAAAGAAAGAGAAGAATTTTCCAGGGGGGTTGGGGCTGTGATAACTTATTCTTTGTGTCAGTTTCCAATTCTGTATTCTCCTACCTTCATCGGCACTGTAAACTCTTAGAGAACAGTAGTAGACTGTGAGGTATCTACCCCGGGATAAACAGCTCACTGAGGTGCCTACTAACAATGAATGTCTCGCCTATTTATTCTCCCAAGAGTTTGTTTCAAAGCCCTGAGAGTTCAAAGCTCCCTGGTGGCAAGTATCCATTAGGAAGAAAAACAGTATTTACTTACATCTCTGGCCTATTTGGGGGGGGGGGGGGGATGGTAGGTAAAACAGCCAGAAGGGGCTGCGCCATACAGACTCCAGTTGTTGCCATGTTTCCTTAAAAAGCCACATGTACCCTGCTACCTTAGTTACTAAGGAGGATGGCCAGAGTCTTCACAATTTACCTAGTTTCTGCCTGCTAGAGCATAATCTTTTCCTTTTCTGTGCTCACTGTGTGTGTTACTGATATACAGGTGAACCTTCAGCCCACTCAAGTTGGAGCTTAGTCTTGTATCAGTGGAGGAGCTAACCAGACTGAAGCATGGTTAATAAAAGCTCAAAGAGAAACTGGGTTTCAAACTGAAGATCAGGAAAGCAAAACAACCAGTCACTGGCTCTTTCCTCTACTTCAGTCTGAAATGGCAATCCTGCCTGCAGGAATCTCAGAGCTGTCTCCTCTCATTTTATAATCCTCTCTAGTTCTGGGATTAAGGGTGTGCACAACTACTGCCTTGTTTCTATGGCAAACTAGTGTGGCTACTGGAACTAAAGGTGTGTGTCATTGTGGCTACCAGGATTAAAGGTGTGTCGTTGCGGCTACTGGGATTAAAGGTGTATATCATTGTTGCCTGGTCTGTAAGGCTGGTCAGTGTGGCTGCTTTAACTTTTCTAGTCTTCTGGCAAGTTTTATTCATTAAAATATAAATGAAATGTCAATATACCAGACTACTGAGGAAACGGCAAAGCCCACATCCCACCATCCCTAATCACAGAAAATGAGCTGCAAAAAGAAATGGGGGCCACTTAGGTCTTGGGGCTCGGAGCCTACTTCTGGATATTTGGCTCACTCCTTGTCTTAGGGTTTCTTTGGCTATGAAAAGACATGATAACCATGACAATTCTTATAAAGGAAAACATTTAATTGGAGCTGGCCTAGAGGATTGGAGGTTTAGTGCATTATCATCATGGTGAGAAACATGGTGGTTCACAGGTAGACATGATGCTGAAAAAGGAGCCAAGAATTCTATATCTGGATCAGTAGACAGCAAGAAGAAAGACACGGGCCTGGCTTGAACATTAGAAATCCCAAAGCCCACCTCCAATGACACACTTCCCCCAACAAGGCCATACCTCCTACCAGCGCCACTCCTTGGTGACCAAACATTCCAACCTATGAGCCTATGTGAGCCATTACTATTGAAACTTCCACATTCCTCACCAGCAAACAATAAAGACAGCTTTGTGACCTGGGTGGCTCTAGAGGTGATGGAGGAGTTACTTTCATTTAATAAAGAAACTGCTTATGCCCATTTGATAGGTCAACTCTTAGATGGGTGGAGTAAACAGAACAGAATGCTGTGAGAAAGAAGCTGAGTCAGGCAGTCACCATGATTCTCCCACTCCAGACAGACGCAGGTTAAGATCTTCCCTGGTAAGCCACCCCATGGGCTATACAGAATATTAGAAATGGGTTAGATCAATATGTAAGAGCTAGCCAATAAGAGGCTGGAACTAATGGGCCAGGCAGTGTTTAAAAGAATACAGTTTCCGTGTAATTATTTCGGATAAAGCTAGCCAGGTGGAGGGAAACAACCCACTGCTCATATTACTACAGAGAGGTTTATTAGCAACTCCTGTGGACTTCCTTAAAATCCTGTTATTACGTCAAAAAGCTCATCCTTTCTTAGTGAGCAACATCTTTGCCAGAATCCTACCCTCATCACCCAACTGTGAAAACTGTAAAGGATCCAAGACTTTGCTTTTTATAATCAAGTAAGTTAATGGGCAGTTTCATGAGTGCTGGCAGAAGATATGAGCCTTCTGAATAATGTACAAGGAACTTTATAATGTATATGCAGCAAGCATGACAATCATTAAAAATCATGACAAAGATTAAAGTGGTGGGGTCAATAGGTCCAAAGAAGTAATTGTACACATAGTGAGTTTTATTTAAAAAAAAAAATATGTGAACTTAGTTCTTTAAAAAAAAAAAAATCAAGGGCCGGGAGGTGGTGGCGCACGCCTTTAATCCCAGCACTCGGGAGGCAGAGGCAGGTGAATCTCTGTGAGTTCGAGGCCAGCCTGGTCTACAAGAGCTAGTTCCAGGACAGGAACCAAAAGCTATGGAGAAACCCTGTCTCGAAAAAAAAAAAAAAAATCAAGGGTATTTACAATGCTTTTACTCTGGAGAGAAGACACTATTTTCCAAGACTGTGTGAATGCTTGCTTGACCTTTGTTCTGTGACTTGTAAAAAGACTTTGAAGAAAACCTTCTTTTCCAGATTCCCAGCTCATTACAGTTCAGGTACCGACCTTACTTAGACAGACACAGAGAATGCAGGAGTTCTGTGTAAAATTGCTCCTCCACAAGTATATGTTCCAGAAAAATGCAAATAACAAAACCAACACTGGCCTCCCAACCCCACCCCAACACACACACAAACTTGCTATTTGTACTGAATGCACTCCAATGTGTGGTGGACTGAATAACTGTTGTTTCATTTGTGAGACCAGATTTCACTATGAGCCCAAGCTGGCTTCAAATCCATGATCCTCCTGTCTCAGCCTCAAGAATACTAATTTTACAGGTATGTGAAGTTATATGGGTTCCAGTTCATGAGTTATACACAAACATTAAAGGGCTCACAGATTTTAGCTTTCACTTAGTCCAATTCTGACCATTTTGACCCATTTAAATATTTCACAACTTGAATGCCCATCAAAAGCACAATTTCATTATCATAAGTAACACTGACATTTCCAGCTTTCTTCCCCAACCCCTTTTTTCTTTTAACTTGTTTAACTTCATACACAGGCCCAGCTAACCTTCATGGCTAACACTTAATGTGTTAGTCACAACTGTTCTCTTGATAAACCCTTATTCCTAAGGTTGAGGAGGCTTGATTAAAGGGGAGATTCTGAAATTAGAGGTTAAAATGTCAAAGTGAACCTCTTTCAAGCAATCCAGTTCAACATAATAACAACATAACCGGCTTGGTAAGAACGTTCAAAGTCTACTAAGCACATTTCAGTATTCTGAGAACCGGGGGTATGGGTTACATAAAGGAGAATGGCGGTCCTTAACTTTCCTCCACTAAGCTCCACTTTGTCCCATGACTCAAGGTTCTTAAGAGACTTCACAAACAACTAAACTCCATTCTCCTAAGGGCCTGCCTACAATGGCTTAGGAAGGAAGGGGTAAGAGCCAAATTCCAGGTTGGCCTCAATTATGTGTAAATGTCAATGTGCTTTTCCCACACAAGGAAACATATGCACGTCCCGAGGCAGGCCTCTTTTAAGGGAACAGTCAGGTTCTTTCTAAGTTTGTTCACCCCAAAGGACAGACAGGAATGTGCTGTTACTCTGATTCTATGGCAAGATAGAATCACAGATATGTTTACCATTCCGCTATAATTCTTTACACTCTAGACTGTATGTGTGCAAACCACTTTGTTTTAGAGAAGACCTCAATGTTTTAGCAAAGTACAAACAGCATCTGCCTAGAGTTATCGTGTCTGTGTGTATGTTCTGGATTAAGGCACTTTTTTTGTTTGGATTATAAACCACATTACTTGATAAATATCTGAGAAAAATGGGAGTGGGTGAGTTGGAAAAGAACGTGAACTTCACTTATTTTTTGAATACAATCCTAAGGGGAGAAATGCTTCTTACAAGTGTTTAGTTTTCTAAGTATCTTTGTAATGGAGCAAAACCATATTCTTGCAAAAAGAAAGGCCAAGGCTTTCATTTTGGTGTAATTTATTCTCTTTTGGTCAGAAAGGTCAGCAGTAAGGTCAACAGTTTCCTTGATAACACCCACCTCCACTCCATCCTTACTTACTAATTCACTGCGCTGAATTTTATTATGCTCTGCTTTATCTAGAAAGGTTTTGGGTTTTTAACTGTAAGAAATGCCAGAAGTTTGGAGGGAAGACTTAGTGGATAAAGGTTTTACCAAGAAAGTATAATTACCAGAGTTCAAATGCGCCGGACCCATAGAAAGCTGGGATTAGTAGTGGTTTGTAATCCTGGTTCTCCTAAGGAGAGATGGGAAGAAACAGGAGACCCCTGGCGAGCAGCCACCCAAGCCAGCTTGGCAAATACATGCAGGGCCAAACAAAGAGGAGACTGTCTCAAGCAAAGAGGAAGATAAGGACCAACACCCAAGGTTGTCTTCTGAACTCTACACATACTCAACATAACACACATTGTACATATCATACAGACACACACACATAGACACACACAACCCTATATGCATTCATAATACAACAGAAGAATGACTAATGTTAGGGTTATGTGCTTTTTCAAGAGAAATACAACAAAATGACACAGAAAGACAAGTTCTCAAATAGTTATCTCTAATTTTAAATAAACAAACATTATAATTTATTCCAAATCTCTTTCAATAAAAAGTACTTGATATTTCCAGCATAACATGTTAGAAATTCACCTAACATCAAAGGCATCTTATTCCAAATATAGAGTTGCTTATATTGGCATCTAGGTAATACACCCGTTAACATGTAATTTCCGGATGCTAAAAGAAAGCCTACCTCCTGCTTTTAATGTAGACTGAGTATAGAAAATAGTACCTTAAAAAATATTTCTGTCTTAAAGCTCAAATCTTCAATCCAATCAAATAACACACCCAGTACAACAGTCAGTGGCATTAACACATTCTACTTTTCTACATCAAATTCAACATAGTTCTTAGTTGGAAACACCATTTTTTCTTTCACACGCAGGGGATCTCAGGACTTGAGGGAGTTTTCTCAAAAGGAAAGTAGTGACAACCTTGAGTTACCTCCCCGAGCTTAGAGTCTCTAACTGTTTACTGCTCAGTACTTGTATTTGAAGAGTTAGTCATGAGGAATTTGGTTGGAAATTGGCTCAAAACAGGCTCCTGCTGGGCAGGAAGAGGTCGAGAAAGTTTTACCAGATTTTCAACTTAAAAAAAAAAAATCTTCTAGCCACTTTGGCTAAACAAACCCAAGACCACCTACTCCACTATTTCCCCGCGGCTATCACAGGAAAAAGAAATTACTTAACAAAATGGACAGGAAGGAGGTGCTTCTGATGAGGCACTACTGAGGTAACCATCTGGATTTTATGGCTATTTAATATATGCCAGAAACAAAATTACATACTTTGTCATATTATAAACATTAAGTAGGCCAGTCCACAGACCACCTACAGTTCTCTTGCAGAATATCCTAAAAATTCAAACTATAGGTCTTTGTGAACACTGGCATCTTGATAGGAGATATTCCTACTGATAAACGCATGAGGAAAAGGTCACCTACCAAACTCATGCAGAAAATAAACTCACGCAGAAAATAAAGGCTTTGTTTTTAGAGTAAGAAAACTTGAGGGCCAACAAGATGGCTCAGTGGGTAAAAGCCCTTTGGACTCAATCCTAACAACCTAAATTTAATCTCCAGAAATCATGGAGTTCTGGAGTGGTTCTCTTACCTTTGTGTGTGCGTGCGCGCGTGCACACACACACACACACACACACACACACACATATACACTAATTAATAATGATAATAATAGTAATAAATAAAATAAAATTTTACAAAAGAGAGAGCACTTAAGATCTACATCCTAAAATCAAAATTGATTGGAAGTAATCAAGTTTCTCCAGCAGTTATGAGCTTCAACATTAAAGCAATATATATGTTTAAACTTTGAGTGACACTTCGGGAGTAGGAAGCTGAACTTACTAATAAATATGAAAATAAACCTCGTGGCTGGAAGAATTGATGTTCAGAAGATTTCAATTAATAGTAATAAAATGATTTGATTTAATTATTATGATTAATTTTTAAGGACAAAGAGACTAAAATTAATGTTGTGAATTTCTAGACCTTATTTTTAGTAAGCTTTGAGACAATTCACAAAAAGAGGTTAAACTAGAAATCTCATATTGCAATTGAGTCAGCTATAAAGTTTCATACCCATCCCCCACATAACCTCAAAAACTTAAAAACAAGATGGCATATAACAGAAATACTGCCAATAAATCATCCCTGAATACTTTTAGATTTTCCCCAGAGTACCACAGATAACATCCAGAAAGCCAAACAAACCAATCAGGAAAGGTTTTAGACGCCCTGAAATTCAGGTCTGCACTGTAAGACAAGTAGGAGGCGGCGGAACGCCGACCTCCACCGGTAGCCTTGGTCTTCGGCAGCTCCTAAATCATGTAAGTTAATACTGCGTTCATAAAACTCAGCAGTTACAGTCAGAGAATAATAATAATAATAACACAAATAAAAATAGGCTCTGGTTAGAGAGAAAGTATCCATTTACTGCCGCCCTGCTGAGGTACATTTGACCACCAAAAGCAGAAAGCTATTAGCATCTAGAATTAATGGGTACAGTGGTTTTCAAGGAAGATATTTCCAGGATGGACACAATGTAGACTCAGCAAAGTTTCCCTTCAAGAAAAACAGAGCTTCTGTTGCAAAGAGTACTGATTAGGCCTAATACCATTAGGGGTCCATCGGGGTCTTGAGCTGTTGTTGCTCCCGCTTTTAACCATCAGTTAGTTGCTAAACCGAAATTTGGGAGTAGTTAGTTAACTTGACCAACAGTCAAGTTTCAGGAATACAGAGCACACCACAGTGCGGGCACGGTGCAGACACACAGGCCCTTGGAGGTGTGAGGTTGGAATCTCCACAGTTCTCAGGCCTTAGCCTCCTTCCCAGTAGCATGGCCCCTGTTGTTCCGACCTGTATGGACTCATTTTCCACAAAGCTCTCCATGAGATGAGATGAGCAATACTGAGTACCACACAACTTTTAGAAATTCTCAGTAAAGTTTATTGATGGCAATGAAAAACAGCTACAACTAAAAACCAAGCCAAGCAAATTTACAAAATGAAAATATTCTAAAGGACTATTAATTGCTTACTATATATCTGGCAAATATGGATTAAAAGTTAACAATATTTTCTCTGTAAAAATATAAACACTGACTCCATCTATATGTATCAGTCCCTGAACTTAACCAGGTTCAAAAGACACACCAAAATAGTCTCTAAAGCAAAGATCATTTTGAAATTATTCGATTTTGATTTATAGCAGTTATTTATATAAAAATTTTAAACAGCACAGGTCGTTTCTATAAAATGCTTATTCTTTCTTGGTTGTTAACGTCATGATTTTCATTCTTGGCTGGATTTTTCTTCCTTGGCAATTCTTTTTGTCACACCACTAAAATATTTCTCACGAAAGGAATTATGACCTTGGTATGGTAGAAAATGGTCACTCAGCAAGTGTGAATACTGGTCCCGGTCCTGGCAGGAGAGAAACACAAAGATAAAGACATGTCAGTTCCTTCAGTTGCCCTTGAACCGTGGCAGTCACCCACTCCAGGTGCATCTGCTTGGCTTCACTGCGTAAACAGCTGTCCCACATCTGCATTGCACTTGGGAATTCAAGGCAGCATCACTTCAGCCTCACTGGATACTCAGAACACTGAATGAAGGAGACACTTTCATTGCTCAGGGCAGAGAGAAAATTCCAAAGAACATGGTCAGACTACAATTGCTTGTCATTCCTGGTTTAACACACACTGAAATCACTGGGGCTACGGAAAATACCAAAGAAGCTTCTAGTCAAGGACAAAGGGGTCTACCAAGGAACCGTGGCAGTACTGCGATGTCATAAGATCACGCAAGGCTGCACACTACATCCACATCCATGAGTGCAACAAAGGATTCCAACACAGGAGATGCAGACACAGGGTGAAGAGGGGCTCCATAGTGCAAACGTCACAGCCAAACAAGGACTGGTACTCAGACGGATAGTCACTGGGCACCGGAAAAGTCAATCTGGGTCAGGATGACCCAGCATTCCAGTTTAGGTGAGAGAAGATTGCCAGAAACTGAAACATTAGCTTCTCAATTTCACAAGTTCTGAAGCAAACCTAAAATTATAGTGTCCCATGTATTTCTTTACATTCATATTCAATTACACATGGACTTTTGGGGATTTAGTCTAAATTTACATATCACTTTGTTGAGGGCATCTTGCTTTACTCTCTGGCACAAGAATCGGAACACCAGCATCACGTTCCTCCAGCTCTGCCTTTCTGTCTGCTATTCTCCTTATGGCTCTTACAGCCACGTATGACCTCTGAAAGCAGACCATGTAACTCCACAGAATACCCTCCCCAGCGAGGACTAGGAAGACCAGAAACGCGGAATGCCGGAAGCATACCTCTCTGGCCCAGGCTTCTAATATGACCTCATCAAGAAGGGAGAATAAAAGCCACGCACAGTGGAAAACAGGCTTCCTTTACAGACCAAAGAGAAAGTGAGGCAGATATATTATCAAATATATTATCACTGAACTAAAGGAGACCAATAAGACAAACTGGTGATGCAGGACAGAGAAAGTGACCAAAATGATGCATAGGCACGGATGAAAATATCACACCAGTATTTTGATCAGTATAGGCTCATAAGAAAAAAAAACCTAAAAGACTACATTTTCCTCAGTGCCATAGACACAAGACAGCAAAGACATATGAAAGCTAGTCTAGGATCATTAACCATTAAAATGCAAGAGCTCAGGGGACAGTCTCATTCTCTTCATGTCCCAGGAAACAGAGGAATCTGTGTTGGGTAAGTATATGAGTCTTGGCTCAAATGTCCACTTTTTAAGATCAACTATCCCCCAACTGTGAAACAGACGTTACAGGAACTCCTGGAGCCCCAAAGCCCCAAATCCCCTGAGCAGGCAAGGATCTGGGAGCAGTTAAGACTTGCTTTGAGGTAAGCCAGACAGTTCTGGGACTGTGGCTAAAATTTCCACCTATGTGGACACACCCTAACTGACAAATGTTTCTCATGGACCATCCATCATCACAAACACAGAAATGCCACATAAAATGACATCATCACAACTTGAAACAAATAACAGAATCAATTTTTGTTTCCTCTTTCAAAGGCTCCTTGTCCATCTGTCGCTCACTTCCTTTCCTGGGTCTCACACCTGAGATGACGGGCTTCAGCTCCGCAGTTTCCATGGTCTTTCACTGCTCTTCCTGCCCAGGGACAGCTGTAGGCTTTTTGTTTCATTGTCCTTTGTTGTTGTTGTTGTTGTGTTTTGTTTTTTAAACTCAGTATCATGAGGGCCAACGAGATATGTTTCTTTGAAAAAGGAAGTGGATCCTCAAGCAACAGTCTTTAATCTTCCTCCTTCACCCAAGCATGTCTGGAGTTTGACTTTTGTTTTTTCTAACAGTTCCAAACCTGTCTACAACTATCAATCACAGTGTCATTTATACATCACAGAACTTCAATCCTGTAAACTTTTCATAAACATGAAACACTGCATGCATATGAAGTAAAAATAGAAAGAAAAGAAGACTGTGTGATGAAGACGGAAGGACGGCTCTGCCCAGTCCACAGCAGTAGGGCCGTAATGAGGAGACCAGTCACACAGAATGAACAAATAGTACATCTGATTGCACTCTTGCCGGCTGCCGCTTCTTAGCCAGTGACTAAGTGTCAGCAGGAAAACACAGAAACCAACAACAGCTCTCTGACCTCTCCCCATTCAGACAGTAAGCAAATGTAAACATTAGAAGAAATAGACAGGTTCCTTCAAAAAAGAACTACTATGGATTTGTTATCAACTGAGTCTTATCTAAGGTAATTACTTAATTTTCTGCATTCTTTTCATCTACACGTTGGAGAGGGAGAAACGGAGATTGAAAGAGCTTTAACAATCTGCCACAAGCCATACAGCTGGAACGCAGTACCGCCTGACTGCGGCCCGAGTCAGACATCAAAAGCTCATGCTTTCTTCATTATCCTTCCATCCTTCTTAAAAGCTAGAAGTTACAGGAACACATAGAAGACTGAGTCAATTTCCCACATGGCAGATTAGTGGGTCCTTTAAAATGAGGTTTGACATTTAGAGGCCAATCCTCCTGAAAGAGCAACGTTATGGTAGCACAGGCTTCAGATCTCCACTTTAACGGCTGTCCTATCAGTTCCGCTGATTCCAAACATAAGCTGAGATCTCGGGATTCTAACACTTGCCAGAGGAGCCTCACGAGCCAGTGGTTCACTTTTATGTGTACACTACCCTCTGCTGGCGGATGCAGACAGTCCTTCTTCATGGGATTTCCTGATGTGGACTGAAACCTGTTTCCAGCTGAAAAGACTGTACACCTGACCATCAGGAACACGCTGGTTCATTTTGCTGTTTTCAAGTGTTGACTATTCAGAACACCTACAACCATACAACCCTCATATGCCCAGGGTGACCTTATTACTTAGGCAGCATTATCATTTTATACATCATCTAATCCATAAGAATGATGCAGAAATAGGAAAACACACATGCACCTCAGAGAGTCTAAGCTGGCACAACTCATCTGTGTGCAAACTAGCAAGTCATTCTGTAGAATAAGAAAGGAAAAGTTCACTTCAAGTTAATCGTGTAGGTTGTACTTTTTTCAGTCTGGAGGCAGAGTGCACCTATTTACAGCGCAGACTGTCCTTGAAATCTCCATCTTCCTGTCTTTGTCTCCAGAATAATCTCTGGATTATAACCATGCATCTTCCACCTACATAATTCTACTTAAAATTTTGTACTATTTAACTCCATATAAGAAGACAGCATTAAAGGGAATTTAAAGGACATTTAAAGGAAAGTATTCAGTCACTTATAATTTTGTATATGAATTTAAGGGAGAATAAATTATCAAGAGAAGAAACAACTACATGGCTGGGAGTAACACTCGAAATTGTCATTTTCAGTAGAACTAAAGACACTCTGGATTATACAAAGAATATATTTTAATAGCACATCTCAAAAACTACGGCACACTGTTTAGGCTGAAAAGGAACTACAGATTCTTCATCAAGAAGCCCATTCAGGTAAAACTATTTAACAATTTCCACCTCCCTCAGAAGCTGGCCATACTCTTGTGTCACCTCCTCCTTAAATAAGGGAAGGGGTTATGTTTTCTAGTTCAGCTGCTTTTTGGTTTATTTTATATGGATTAAAATGGTGTGTCCCAGTGACTTTTAAAAAGTAATGGTAAATTTTTGTTTATTATTATTTAAACAGGAAACTTCTAGCTAGCTCTAATTATCTGTTCCTATTTTTTTCTTAAAATGATTTAAATACTGTTCAGTATGATTGTTTTTATTTTAGATGAAGCAGCCCAAATAATCACTAAACAGTTACTATTTGTTCCATGAACACTTGAATATGGTGAGGAAAAGAATCGAGTTCTGTGAGTTCACAGATCCTGATGGGAGACAGACATAAAATGTTGTACCTCCAGACACACATGTATGCAGTGGTATTAAACAGTGGGATGAAACAGCAACTGTGGGAATATGAAGAGGTGAAAAGGAAGGATAGGGTTGACTTCTCTAAAGAAAAGGCACTTATCTGGGTGCTGCAGAAGAGAAGTAAACCCTATCACACAGAAGAGGAAGCACTCAACACACAAGATTCAATGAAAAGAGACTGAAAACAGAAAAGCGAGCCCACTCTTGAAGCTGAAAGGAGACTGAAGGTTAAGGCTTATTGTGCAAAAGATGAAGTGGCACTGACTGCACCTAGAGACGATGCCAGGAACACAACAGGGTGGTCCAGATGTTAGATAAAAACATGTAATTTTATTCTAAACTTTTCAGAGTTATCAATACAATTTAAAAACTATACTTCTGTTATCTATTCTCTTTCTAGAAAATATTCTGGCCACTGTCCAGGAAATGAAGTGGAGGGAGAATGTAAGGAAAGAAATACAGGAATTGGGAGACTTACAATACATGAGGGCAGTGACTCCTTACCCTGTATGGTCCTTAGAAAAACAAGCGGGATTGGGGGAGAATATAAATATACACAGAAAAATTAGCTACTCAGTCATCCCAACCTAGATTTCTCAGAAGTCTTCCTTAACTCCATTGCCTCCACACCAACTATCCAGTCACCAATCACACCATGTCTGCCTTTTCTTACTTCACTCAGACCCTCTACAGTCACATTTTCCCTCTTCCGGCTCCTAACTCATCTTTGCAGAGTGATGTCTAGAGCCTCCTCAGAGAATCACAACGTATCACCCCACCACTCAGACTTACCTATGAACTGAAGTTAGGGCACCCTTCACGAAGCATACACTTCTGCCAAGCTACCAATCAATATCCTTTGCAGGCTTGCCACCACAGATAGGATAAACCTGAACCTGGTATGTAAGGCTCTGCACATGAGCATCTCTGGTTCTTCAGGTCGTCTCCTGCTGTTTCTCCCTCAATGCCCCACATTC